CAAATGAACACAACAATAAATTCTGCTCTAACAACCTCTCTGTTTCTTTTTTTTTTTTTAAGGAGGAATAGTTTTCTGATGGGATTGGAGTCAACAACAACAACAACAACAAAAACAACAACAGCAGCAGCAGCAGGAGGAGGAAGAGGCAGAACAGAGTAAGTCCTTTTCAATGTATAATAGTCTTTAAAATATATTTTGAAAGGTTATTTATGGGCTCCTTTTTTAGTCAAACTTCCTCTATTGTCTAAAATATATTTTAAAACGTTTTTTTTGTAAATATATTTGTAAAGTTTAATTCCTCCTTCAAATGTTGGGATTTTATGTTTTTCTTCTTGCTGACAAGATACTGAAATCCAGATGATAGAATAAGGAAGCTTACAGTAAATGTTATATTATAGTATGTTGACAAAAGTATGAAAAAAGACCGTATTGTTTGTGGAAAAATATGGAAGAATTGAAACTATAGCGTGTTGAAAAATATGCAAAAAGTCATGTTATTTCATATTGAAAAAGTCAGAGTGTAATGTGTCAAAAATAATTGATATCTATATTATAGTCAATCAAAAACAATGAAAAAGTCCTAGGGTGTTTCTCAATGTCGAGGACGCTTCCTTGGTAGGACATGTCCCTCCGAGTCAGGTCCTTCAGAAGCGAGGCAAGAATCCTTCCTAGCCTCGGAAAAACGAAGAATGGTGGAACAGGCTAACAGGCTAACAGGTGTGCGTCATATGAGAGGCGCCGCCTTAAATGGAGCACAATCTTTGGCACCAATTTCCGCCAAAGATTTGGAAATTGGTCCGTGTGCAAAGCATTGTGGGGATTTTAAGACCGCGGACATGTGCAGCCTTGAAATTTCCCGCAACAAAGGACGCCGGCCTCGGTAGAATTCCAAGCATGCTGGACATTGGAACAGTCCTTCGGCGGGACTCGATGACGTAGCATCCTTGAAATAGTGGCTCTGGAGCAGCCTTCCTCGACATTGAGAAAAACCCCTAGTATCGACTGTCGAAAAATATGCAAGAAAAGTCATGTTAAAGTACTTTGAAAACGTAAAAAATTGGGTATAGCATGTTGAAGTATATGAAAAAAAGAGATGGTATAATCAGTCATTGTGTAGTATGTAAAAGATACATTTTAAAAGTCGGTATAGTATGTACAAAATTAGGAAAAAATGAAAGTATACTATGTTAAAATTATGCAAAATAAGTCATATATGAACAATTCAAAATATGAAAAAGTCAAAGTGTACTGTGTCAAAAAAATAGATAAAGTCATGGCATAGTATACGGAAAAAAATAAGAATTCGGTATAGCATGTCAAAAAAGTTGGAAAAAAGTGCAAGTATATTATGAAAAGTCAAAGTGTATTGTGTCAAAACTAATTGATACATTCAGAGCATAGTATGTTGAAAAATATTTAAAAAAAACATAGCTCATAATGCCCAGAAATATGTGAAAAATATCATAGGATGGTATATTGGAAACATATTTTAAAAAGCAGTCGTACCCGTACATAATAATAATAATATCTCTTTCTTCTGTTTCCAGCAGACCAGGCGCAGCGGGGGCCAGCAGCTCTTAAACCCACACGGGTCTTCAATGTTCAAAGTTGTATTGTACGGGTAAAGCTGGAAATCAGAGGCCTGTAAAACTAGTGTGTGTGCGTGTGTGTGTGTGTGTGTGTGTCAGTGTTTGTCAATTAGACACTGGAGTTGAATATGAAAACACAACTTGTTAAAACTCAAGAGTTAGATCTGGTTCTCTGTGGAGCGTCAGAGTCAGAGCTACAGCTCGTGGTTCACGGTAGGATAAGAAATAAGAAATGCAATTACACACCGGACAGTGCACTGCGCAAATCCATTTGTAGAGTCTAGTGTTGTAGTCGTGTGCATGAGAAGCAGTGAAGCAATAATATCACCCTTTACTGGTCACTCAGTATTTCAGATTTAAAAAAAGCCACTTGTGTGTCAGCAATCCACAATAAAAGCACAAGGTGAAGCCAAAAATACAAGAACCTTGTGCCATAGATGACCAACTGTTGCATTTAAGCAATCCACTACTCTGTCTTAACACTACTTCTAAACATTTAGAGCTAAGGAGTTAAATAGATATTATATAGAGTCTTTATGAAACTAAAGAGAGTTATGGCGCTTTTCCACTGCAGGGCCTCGCACGGCTTAGTACGGTATAGTTAGGCCTTGGTAGGCCAGGCTCACTATATGCTGCGTTTCCATTACAGTTTAGTAGCTGGGGCAGTAACTATAGTAACGCAGTGTAGGCGGAGCCGTGACGCCATCTTCAATGAGAACCACAAAACCAACATCAGCCGTTAGCTATTAGCTGTTAGCACTCAGAGCTCCTCATATCTGTTCAGAAACTGGACACAAGTTAAACAAGTACAAACCACAGACTGCCTGTGTCATGGCGAATACAGTCGCTGCTTTATTTATGTCTGTATAGGCCGTTGTTGTGAGTGTGGACGGTCGGAGCATATACAACGTTAGCTTAGCCGATCTCCATTCAGAAAACACGCATTTTAAAAGGTTTTTCTCCTGCCGTCTGTCTGCAGACTTGACAAAGCATTAATTCATGGTTTTTACTAATCGGTATCAGTGTGTTGTTACTTCTGCATCATTTAGAAACGTGTATTACAATTTAATCACGGTAAAATGTGGTTGTAGTTGTAGCCCCCTTGCTAGCGATTCTCTCACTAGTTTAGCATACTCAGCCCGGTTGTTGGCCCGGAAAGAACCACGATTTTGGAGGGCCAGAAAAACTGTGAAAAAGTACCCGTTAGCCGGAACTACCCGTAGTGGAAACGCAACCAAAAACTGTCCGGGTTTGGCACGGCACGCTTAAACCGTGCTACGCGCTGCAGTGGAAATGTGCCATAAGTTATATAAGAAGTGATCAGTGTGTTGTCTTTTAGCTCCGTTTAAAGACTCCTGCATCAACATGGAGGAACCTCAGAGCTAAATTAAAGATGGGATTTCTGTAAAGCACAATATCTTCTGTGTGTGTGTGTGTGTGCGTCAGTGCATGTCCCCTCATAGATAACTGATGAGCTGTGTAGAGGATGTGCAGAGGAGCTATGGATCACTGTCTAGTACTTCAATAAACATTAAGTCTGAACTTTGTTTCACTCGTGATTTCAGATTAAAGTCATGACTTTATTTCCACATTTCTTTTTTTTAATTGAACTTCAATGACAGCAAGCATGGGAATATAGAAAAACCAAAACACCACAATTAAACAATGAGTAATGAAAGTAAATGCCCATAATATATTAATGAATATTGCCTCAAAAAAAGCTCCATAGAAACCCCGTGTTACCGTGTCAAAAGGCTGTTAAAAGGCACAATTAATTAGGATTTGTTGACTGCAGATAGTAAACAACATTCAATGCAGTCATGCCTTGTGTTTCACATTGATATCATTTCGTTTTTTCACCACTGTGTACTCCATCTTCATAGTTGTATCTTTGATAAGTGCTAACAATCTGGTACCTGGTTGTAAAACATATTTTAAAGTTGTTCAAAAAACAGCAAAAAAATAATATGACAGTAAATCCAGGCAGGTAAAGACGGCGCCACACAGAGGGACATAAGTGATGAATGAGGGGGACATATATATATATATATATTCGGGGGGGAAATCCTACACTTTGAGCCTTTAAGAACACATCATTTTACCTGCAGCACATTTTGTGAATGGATAGCGGTTGTAAAAGGCAGCTTGTTATAAACAGATTGTCTCATTTGGTTAAACTTTTATTCAATGAGGGAAACATGAGGAGATACAAGAGCACAGAGGGGGACAGAGACATGCTTCTGTTGGGATGTTATTAAGTAAATTAACATTCATTTTCTAGCTGTCATTTGTTTATATTAAAGGGGAGCTATCATGCAAAATGCACTTTTTGATGTCTTTTCTACATCAACATGTGTCCCCGGTGTGTCGGGGAACTCACGCAGCGTCAGAAAATAAAACCCTCTCTCTTTTCCTCCGTACCCAAATCTCTAAAAACGGGGGAACAACGGAGCTGATCCAGATTTGCGTTCCGATATGACGTAATATCTGAAATGTGGACCCACGGGCCAATCAGAAACGTTGCTATCAGAAACAATGCCCGACTGTTTTGGACGTAATATGGTCGGTGTTTACATTAGCATCGCTAACACTCAGAGCTAACCTGTACTGGAGAGCATGTGTGTGAAGAAGCAGGAAATAAAAAGGAACTCACCTTGTGGTATAACCGGCAAGAGAGAAAGCCTTTGAGCTCCATACTGTTTCAGAAATAACCCTTGATAATCCATGATATGGCGTTTCATCACGGCAGCATTTAGTTTAGACAGTAGCTGCCGGGTCCCGCATGAGCTCAGGCCCCTCCTTTTTTTTTTTTATCAATTTTTTATTTTGTAAAGCTTTATACCCAAAATCAGGACTTTTGAAACAGGAAGTGAAATAGAGGGATATGAGGCATGGCTAGAATGGGTGATCTGTTTGGTATTTTGAGCAAAACACTTCATAGACATGTTTTTTTATATATTTTTATATATCTGAGACCTATGCTATTGCCTAAAAATAGCATGATAGGTCCCCTTTAAAATAATAATTTATTGTCATTCTTTTAGTTAATCAAGGTACTTGTTTATGCTTTTATTTTGAGTTATGGGCCCCTGGTGATTTTGTATATATTGGACACAGGTGGAGGTTTTTTAACAGGGAAAACAGAGGAGAAGCCATTGTTTGTTATATGTTGGATGATGGGAACTCTTCAATAAATGCACACTAACGCCTGGACTTTTGACAGTAATTCCTTGCCTACAATTCTCTTTCTGGAGCCTCAGTGGCCGTTTTAGTTTGAGTAAATCTTCTGTTTTATTGAATAAATAATAATAATAATAATAAATGTATTTTGTAAGCGCTTTTACAGGTGCTCAAAGTCGCTTTACAGAGGTAGGAAGTAAGTAGTAAAAGTCACATTAAAATCGAGCAATAAAACAACAATCACGCATTAAAAGCCAGTTATTTTAAAAGTGAGTTATTTTTTGTACGTTTTTTTAAGATTTCTTTATAATCTCAGCTTCTCTACAGAAATCCACACATTCACCGAAACGTGTAACTCTCGTCGTCGTACTCCAGCTCGTCCTCGTTGTCCTCGTCCAGCTGTCCATACCTGAACTTCCTGTACACGGTGCCGTCCTGCCCCATGTAAACAATGTCCTCATCGTCATCGTCATCTTCTTTACTCCTAGCGACGTCCACCAGCTGAGCGTCCTGGAAGCGTCCGCCAGTCGTAGAGGAAATGGGACGAGCGCTAGAAGTCGAAGAGCTGAATCCTCTTCCTCCTCCTCCTCCGAACCCTCCGCCCGAGCCCAGTTTCTCGTACCCGCGAGGCGTGATGTCCGGAGGCGCCCTCTTGGAGCGGGAGTGCCGGATGATGAAGACGACGGCCACCAGGCCAAACACCAACAGGAAGCAGGTGATGATGAAGATGGTCAGGTTTCCCCCGGACACCTCCTCTTCCTCGTTCCTGAACGCCAGCTTGGTGGTGAGGACGCACTCTCCTGAAACACAAATAAATCAAACGGATTGAAGCGATTTCTCTGCCATTTATGATCAATGCTCTCACAGTGGACGAAATAAGTATTTGATCCCCTTGCAAAACATGTGTTAGTTCTTGGTGGAGAAACTCTTGTTTGTTGCAAGGGGATCAAATACTTTTATGAAACGGACAAGTCAAATCAAGCGATCTGATTGGTTCTTAGCCGTGATATAATGAGCGTATATCACGGGTAGAATTGTAGTTACTTTTCACAACAAGTCAGTATCCCTCCGCGTCTGAGAAAAGCTACAACTGTTACATTACGTCCGTTACGAAACTAACTAACTAACAAAGCTCAAGATGGAAACATTTAAGGTTAACTTCGACCTCCGGGGTGGCCTCACTATGGAGGAGTGGATTGAGCAGTGCCTATCTCCAGAAAGCACCTAAACGACGACATGCAGAGCTACGTGAAGAGCAGGTAGACCAACTGGAGAAGTACCACCATTCAAAAGCTTTCTGATGCGGGTCTTGAAACAAAGCAGAGAGATTATGACCGTTAGTGGCCACAGGTGCGAAGAGCTTCGCGTCGGGCCGAACCACGCCCCTTAGCTGTGATATAATGAGCATATACCACGGCCTGTCGTGAGCTATTGCTTAAATATACACTTAAATAAACCTACCATTACAATTATAGACTGTTCATTTATTTGTAAGTGGGCAAACTCACAAAATCTACAGGGGTTCAAATACTTATTTCCTCCACTGTATATATCTCTTGAGCACGCTAAAGGCTCTTAGAGCATGTCTTCTCTCACTGATTGTGATGTTGTGTTAAATGTTTGATGTTTTATCGTGTCTTGATATTTGTCTGTTGATGTTACACATGGAGCTGCTGGGATGCAAGTCACATTTCAGACTTGATCTGACCGTTAAAATGAAGCTCAGCGCAAGTTCTTTCAGGAAGACTGGGTGTATATACATTCACTCTGCAGCTGCTTATAATCAGCTCATCACGGGCATTCTTTTTAAACCTATTACATTTCACCTCATTCTCCAGCAGCCAATCACCGTGCTGCAGCCAAACTTTAAAATGGTTCTCCTCTCTCCTGCAGTCAGCTGTGATTTCAGGTGTTCATGCTGCCGCCCGCCTCCTCCCCATCCACCTCCTTTCAACATATCCAGTGCCAGGAGAGCTAATCCAAATACCTCATCACACCTCCTCTTCATCCCATCTCCTCATCACACCCCCTCTTCATCCCATCTCCTCATCAAATCCAGATCTTCAGCATCATCACCAGTGTCTAGACCCCGGGGGGTTCCCTATATGTTCACGGCTGCATTTCTCCCTTTAGATATATGATTTCAGGATCGGGGTCTAATCGCCAAAGACTTAACATTTATCATATGGCATGTGTCAATAAATGTTCTTTAAACAAAATGAAGCCTTTCCTGATTGAAGTATTATCGTATCGTATCGTATCATTTTGTATAGTCATAGTATAGCATGTCAGAACTATCTAAAAAAATCTGGAAAAAGAGTTGTGTCTTTTTTTACGTACTTACTATACTATGTTTTTTTTCCACATGCTATACTTTGATTTCTGTTTCAAATATTTTAACATGCTATACTATGACATTTTTGATTAAATCTTCCACAAACTATTCCATACATGTTTTTTCTATACTATATATGACTTTTCCCCCACATATAACCCCGACTGCCTGGGTGAAAACCAGGAATCCTAACCGCTAGACTATATGGGACATTCTTCGTACAACGTCTTATATTTTTTCATTTAATATACTATATAATTTTCTCAACATATTATCCAATGCAATTTTTTCAACATACTATTCTATGACGGTTTTCTTTTCAAATTTCCGATATATTTTTTTCGACTTACTAACCCTCGACATTCTATACCACGACGTATTGCACCTTATGGGACATATTTGTTTCAAATAGGGGTTATTCTAGTAATATATAGTATGACGGCGATACTGTGGCGCTGATTGTATATAAGATATTTAAATTCTGGCGTGAACATGACGCCCGTATACAAGATGTCTCCGCGGACGTAAACAACAACGTGACGTCAGAGCTCCGTAAAAACAAAGCTGTCTCTGCCGTCTGACGCTCCGTTTGACTGGTCATATTTCTGGAGTAATTATACAGTTTTTGACGAACAGAAATATTGTTTTCTGGCATCACTTTAACATTTTACGGGGTGCAGACAAAACCCTGATATAGTTTATTAAGACGTGACGTTTTTGGTGAACTTTTCCAAATATTCTACTAATACATTTTTCTGCTTTTCAAGTTTTTTGACATTCCACACCATGACTTTTTATCGTTCACACAAAAACAGGAACTTGAAAACACCTCCTTCAGCCCTGGGAAATAAAGACAGGGATTTTGTTCTGTTCTCTGACATTTCCCTGAGTAGTGAGTGAGTAAGAGATCTAAATGTCAGCCGGGACAGAGTTTATCAGCTCCAGAAGAGACACCTCACACTCTCACACTCTCCTTCCTCCTACCTCGAGTCTCGGTGCAGTTACAACAGTCCTGCTGCGGCGTTGTTGCCTCTTCCTCCTCCTCCTCATCATCATCATGGAGGCAGCACAGCAGACAGCGCCCCCCCGCTTCTAAGATGGCCTGAGGAGGACACATGGAGCAGTTTGCTGGACCGGGTCCTCGACACTCCAGACAGGAGCCGTCACAGTCCACACACACATGGCCTGAGTCCTGATGGGAACACACGGTAGAATTAAGATCGCACACACACACACACACACACACACACACACACACACACACACACACACACACACACACACACACACACACACACACACACACACACACACACACACACACACACACACACACACACACACACACACACACACACACACACACACACACACACACACACACACACACACACACACACACACAGGGGGAATTTCTGTATTATAATTATTATATTTCTATTATATCTCACTTAAAAACTTACCTATTTTTAACCAATGTTTAGACTGATAAAATGAATGTTTTGAGACAGTTTAGTAGTAGAGTCGGATTAGTTTTAGGTATGATTTAGCTTGTAATGTTTCTGTACAATACATGAACTCTCTCCAATTCTACAAGTGTCAGCAATAAATGTTAGGAACAGTGTTTAGTGTCCTGTCCTACATTTTTAAACTTCATAAAGCTAATCATGGTGTCCCATTTCACATATCTCCATTTTGTCTTATGGTTTTACTTGTATTTCTCACTGTTTGTGGATAAAATGAACTGACATTTTTTTGCCTCCAAAAGATGTGCATACCGTTCATTTCGAAAATAACTAAATGTAGGTGATGTTCTGCCTCTCAGCTTAATATATTAATATGCATCTACCTGCCAGACACTTTCCGTAAGAAGCCTCGCAGCACGAGCCAGGAGACTTTTTTTTGAACTAATAATGTTCTGTGAGATTTCTCCTGGTGCAGTAATAAGTCTGTCTGAATTACATTATGCGATACCTAGGGGCCAAAACATTAGTATGAATTATATTTGGTGAGTTAAGGACGGAGAAAGGATTTATTTTTTAATATAAAAAGTTAATATTTGTGAAATTAAACCCTAAGAAAAGTGCTGTGTGGTTACCTTCATCACAGGAAACAGGCCGACGTCGCACATGGACTCACATCTGCCGTCTGAGAGAAGGTATCCAGGAGAGCAGGAGACACAGGAGGCAGCTTCTCTACCTGTGGATATATGACAACAGAAAGATAAGATAAGAAGTACCACATGTTTGCGTTGCAGCAGCAGAAAAAGACAAGTTTTTGTTTTATGGGAACAAGTCTTTTTTGTAAGTTTTTGTGTTTTCCTACGATACTGTAATGATTGGCTGTGAATAAGAAAACATACACCCCAATAACATAAAAGTATTTTACTCACTCACTCATTTGAATGATTTCCCTGTGTGATTCTTACTCGCTAAAGTTCAGATTAGAATCAGAATGATAAGATAAGAGATAAGAAGTACTTTATTGATCCCAATGCCACATGTTTGCGTTGCAGCAGCAGAAAAAGACAAGACATTGTACATTAGAGAAATTAGAAAATATAAATGTTGAGATACAGATTTACAGTAACAACGTATAAAGCAAGATATTATATATATACATTAATATCCTGCATTATATTTGTTACTGGAAAGTTGTATTTCCACATGTATATATATATATATTTTGTTAACTATTAATGCTATTTTATTTCAGAAATATTTTGGACTGTTTATTTCTTGTGTCTTAATATCTTTTATGTACATTGCCTTGTTTTTTTATGCTGCTGCAACGCAAACATTTCCCAAATTGGGATCAATAAAGTACCTATCTATCTATCCATCCATCCATCTATCCATCCATCCATCCATCTATCCATCTATCTATCTATCCA